TGTAGCACAGGCTAGTCTCGAACTCAAAATGATCCTCCTGCCTCAGCCTCCTGAGTACTAGGATTACACGCGTGCGCCATCATGCCCAGCCTCAAGAGAATTTTTAAAAACATGATTGGTCCCTAAAGGCAGTTTGTTCAGCTGCTTTTATACAGCCTGTGTGTTTGGTTGTTTTGTAAGCCCTACACCTCAAGATGATCCCACATCAGGAGTTACCTAGTCAAGTCACCTCTACCAGAGTGTTAGTAACAGACTGCCTTGTGTTTGGAATTTCCAGTTCTACAACAATAGAATTGTGGGGGCTGGGGATTTAGCTCAGTGGCACAGTGCCTGCCTGGCAAGCGCAAGGTTGTGAATTCGATTCCCGGTACCGGTAGAAAAACAAAACAAAACAAAAAAACCAAACAAACAAAAAATAGAATTGTGCTCATTTGTTTTTCTGTTTCATTTCTTGCTATTAAAAGCACTTGATTCTTTAATTCAGATTCAGAAGAATTTTCCAAGTTTGAAATTAATGTTATTCTTTCATAGATTGAGAAGCTGAGACCTAGAGAATTTTAGTGGTGATACCAAAACAGTACTGCTCATAAACAGCAGGGGTAGGGTATAAGTTTTAGTTTTTTGTATACAGATCTCATTTTCTGCTATATCACACAACAGGCCACAAAGTAAGGACTCTTGTCACAGTTAATCCACAAGCTATGTAATATTAGGCATGTCATTTTATAATCTTTTTAAAAAACTGCTATAAAATTATTTCCCAAAAAATATATGGATACAAACTAAACCATAATTTATTTAAATGATGAATAGAAAGTCATCACCATCGTATGTGCATATAAAAGCCACATCTTTAAACTTCCCGGGTGCTACTGAAGGCAAATCAGACAGCATAGGGGCTGGGGATTTAGCTCAGCGGCACAGCACCTGCCTGGCACCGCGAGGTCGTGAGTTTGATTCCCGGTACCAGAAAAAAAACAAAAACCAAAAAACAAATACGACAGCATATAAGTTGTGGATAACATTTAGCAATATATCCAAATAATCTTCAATCCTCATGATTCAAGGGACTTCCTGCAGGACTTTCCAAAGACAGAGTGGTATCCAAACATTTTTTTAAGGCTTTAGGTGATTAAAATCCCTGACCAGCATTAAAAGTACTTGATTTTCCCTGGAAGAATTGAAAGATTCACCATGGTAAGATTCACCTGGTGGTAATGGTGGACTGTGGGAAGCATACCCAGTATCTGGGAACAAACAAGTGAAAGGTTTTAGATTTCCTTCATTCAAAAAAGTTCCTAAAGTGGAAGTTAGATTAAAATATTTATTAGGAAAAAAAAATCTGATTAGAAAAGTTCAAATATGGTCCTCATATCACTTAAAGGAACGTGTTCACTAGAAGGTTGTTTGCAATATTGGGAGTGGATTATTATGAGTAAAACTAACTTTTGGACTTGTGAAGAAGATAATATGCTTATATTTACATTTAGGTTTTCACACATAGTTTTTACAGGTATGTTATTGTGTTTATCTTGCCAGACTTGAGTGTTCATGATATTATTGCTTAATATATATTATGAAAAAAAAAATGTAAACTTTACTAGACCTTTTCAGGGATGTTGTATAATGTTTTGGAAAATGAAATTTCTCTTTGACAAAAATCCAATATTCCCGTATAGTCTGCATGCCTTTATAAAGAATGTTGCGTTTGCTTGATAATGTGAACATACTGAGATTGATCTTTGCATACCAGGGAAATCAGCAAGAAAGACTCAGTGGATATTTCCACCCCCATGCAAAAATATGGATAGATTTTATTTAAAAACAAACATCAAACACACACACACGTTTGATACTGCCATGAGTAGCCCATGCCTTGCATCAAGAAGAAGTTGGCACTCCAGGGTAAAATTGTAATATGAAGTCCTTTCTTTCTTCTCTTGACAGAAACACACTCTTTGTAATGTCTGGTCTTTTCAGTATCCCTGCCGCTTCTCAGCTACAGACCTCCATTCCCCCTCGCTGTCTCAAGTGCGCACTTACTGTCCTTTCCTTTGGCCTCTAGCTGGTTAGTGCTCTGTGTTTTATGTTTTCCTTCTGTTTGTCCATAACTTTTATGTCTCTTTCGCTATCAGTTCTGCTTCCAGCACCACCCACAGCTTTCCATTTAGGGACCCAGACCTCAGAGGCAAGGCATTTCAGTTTCCTTTTCCTAAAAGCAAAGACCTGAAGTCCTAATGATGATTCAGGAGGTCCTTCCATGCCAGAAAGTATACCACAGCCATTAGAGCTCTTGTGTTCATGGTGTTACTGACTTTACAAATACATGTGAGTAGCCTGAAGCTAGAATGATGGTTGGCTTTCCCTGACACATTGTCGTCGCATCGTAGGAGGTTAGTAGGGGCTGTCAGAATGGGATGCTCCATCAACACTGAAAACAGATGAATGGTACAGTGAGGATTTTGTCCTCTTTCTACTGATGAAGTATTATTTTTGAATATGCTGGCAGCATTTCAAATGCTACATGTGGGCGGGGGGGAACACCATGTGTCTCTGACGTTTGTATTTATATATTAATGAAAGGTCCCCAGTCTTTGATCCAATGGTTTGTTTTATCCTTTCTTATTTCTATGAGTATTTTGGTTTGAGTGTATGAGCGAACTGTATGATCCCCAAGCTTCTGAAAGCACCTAGCGGTCTTGCTGTTTGATCTTTGCAGCTTTCTAGAATGTGCAGCAGAAGCAGGGGAGAAATATTCTTCTTCTGCGGTTATGCAAGAGCTTAAGGGGGAGATATTTTCCTCAGTGAGGGATTAGAGACCTGCAGAAGATGGTGCTCCTGTTTCTCATCCAGAGAATTTGAGCAGCTTGCAAAGCTCAGTGAAGCTTTATACCTTAGACTCAGTCTCTTTACGAATAATCTCCATATTTCTCAGTCCAGACTTGTCATAATTCACCACAGTATCCTTCATTTCCCTGAAGAACTGACTCCGTAGTGGTGTACAGTGTTCAGCCCTGGGCTTGGAAACAGATGTGTCTGAATTAGGGGAAACCAGATTTACCATGGAAATAATCACTGTTTCCAAAATAAGAATTTTGGATATATCTGATACAGTAAAACAGAGAAAGTAAGGAAGAATATATTTAAAGTCAAACAAACCAGTGGTATGTAATCATTATGTGTTTAATGATGTATTTTATATTGTTAATAATAAACCAGTTGGTATTATGTATGCAAATAGCCTGAACAAAGAGTTTCTATAATGGTAAACATACCAGTAAAGAACCCTTCCATCATTCAGCAGTGAAATTAAGTGATAAGCTGAGAACTGAAATATTGTTTCAGTTGGAAAAGTGGATGATGCTAACAGCTTTTACAAAATAGTTTGACTTATAGTGTTTATTTTCTTTTGTTCCTTAATTTTTTTGAGATTTTAAAACAGTTTCAGCACATGAAATAAAAATCTTGTTATTTAGAATTTAATATAGATTTGCATGGTTCATTTTTCTTTTTTCTAATTTGTATGTTTTTGTAAGTAAGCAATTCTTTTAAGAAGAGGGGGAACATGAAGACATCAACCCATTTCCTTTTTTAGTTGATCTGGTACCATTTTTGATGTTTTTTTTCTTTCCCCATTGTTGCTGAATAAAATGCCCTTGAGTACATTCCCTATTGCCTATTGTATATTTTGAATGGAGCTATAATTTATATTCTATAAGAAATGTTTTGTTTCTTGAAATGTGTGCTCACATTTTTGCGGGGGAGAACAGGAAACCAGTGTGAAATGACAATATAATTTAATGCTGTTCTGCTACCATACTAAAGCTGAAGAAAGATTTTGGTCTCCATCTAACAGAGCAATCATGTCTATATTAGCCTACTTAAATTAGATGTAACCAAGATGGTCTAGCTCACTCTGTCAAGGTCAGGTTGATATATACTAGTAGAACTCCTAGGCCATATTGTGCCTCAGATGTAGGAATTCAATAAATGCTTGTGAGTTTGTAAGTTAATATGTATATGAGTAGAGGTACATTTTCATGTCCAATAATGACAGCCTGAGAACATTAGTCTGGGTCAAACCTTAGAGTCCTTTATTATTAAGTTTTGTTCACTAAAAACTATGAGAATTCAAATGAACTTGAACAGATTTATCATTATTTTAAATTAAACAAAATGTCAGAGACTTTAAAATTTGCAATAGAAAAGTTACCTAAAATGACTTCCTAAAATATTAATGTAGTAGCTCTGTATATTTAAGAAAAGAATTTATCCTACACTAAAAGGTGTAATCCAACTGTTATCAATGACTTCTATTTAGTAATTTAGTGACTGAGCTAGAGAAGTTATAAAATTTTGTGTCCTTTTTAATCCCCAAGATGAATATAATATAGTAGCTCTTGTACCAAATATAAAAGAAATATTGTAGAGTTTTCCAAGTATTATTGCCAGTTAATAGTATTCAGATTATAATAGTGTTGAGTAAGGGTACAATCTGTAAATCATAGAACTTTAAAGCTAGAAAAGATATTTAAGTTTATCTAATGAAATCTCAACGTAGTCTTTAACAGAAAAGTGAGACTCCTGCATGTAGTGGTGACTCAAACCAACGAAATGAATGTTTTAATTAAATACTGTATTTATGCAATGCTAAGCAATGTTTTGTGTTTCAAACTTATCTTCTTAAAGATTATATGTCAATTTATTGTTCCTATTTAGATTCCTATGGTCTCTTCCATGAAGAACAGATTTTGCCCATTTTAACAAGCGTGTCTGTCTTTCTTACTGGAATAAAAGTGTCTCTTTGGTAGATGACTTGCCTTACTCTGCTTTATACTATTTTACCTCCACTTTTAATCACTCTGTCATAGAGCACTGCTTCAGATATTTAGGAATGGAATCAATGTCTCATAAGAGCAATTAAGCGTTCAAGTAATGTCATACATCCATTAAAAGGTGTGATTAACACATAAACATGTGTTCCATTTTTCTCCTCACAGTCTCCAAACGTCCACAACTACCCCGACATGGAAGCCGTTCCCCTGTTACTAAATAACGTGAAAGGGGAGCCTCCAGAGGACTCGTTATCTGTAGATCACTTCCAAACACAAACTGAGCCCGTGGACTTGTCAATAAACAAAGCCAGGACATCCCCGACCGCCGTTTCATCCTCCCCGGTTTCCATGACCGCCTCTGCCTCCTCACCTTCTTCAACTTCGACCTCGTCCTCCTCTTCCAGTCGCCCGGCCTCATCCCCAACAGTTATAACATCAGTCTCTTCAGCATCATCCTCGTCAACAGTATTAACTCCAGGACCCCTTGTCGCCTCCGCATCTGGTGTGGGAGGCCAGCAGTTTTTGCACATTATCCACCCTGTACCGCCTTCAAGTCCCATGAATTTACAGTCTAACAAACTGAGTCACGTTCACCGCATCCCTGTGGTGGTACAGTCGGTGCCTGTTGTCTACACAGCTGTACGTTCACCTGGAAATGTGAACAACACTATTGTCGTGCCGCTTTTGGAGGACGGGAGAAGCCATGGCAAAGGTAAGAGACAAACAAAGCCTTGCTTTATTTCAGCAGTGCTGGTCACTATTAGTTTTTTTAATCAGTGGAACCTTAATTGTATACAAAAAATGCATCGGAAGAAGCGCTCTGCTCCCTGAGTGGAGCACAGTGCAGTAGGAACCCTGTTTATTGCTTCGGTTGTTTTTGGTCTGTATTTTTCTTAACCACGTCATTTAATGTCAGCATTCAGATACCTGAAACGGCACAATGATGCTTACTTATTTAAATGTTCAGATGGAAAGGGCAAACTGGCTCGTAGAAAAGTGCAAATGCATAAATCCCTCACGGAAATTAGGCATTGTGAAGTTTTTAAAAAGTAAATCATATTTCTTCTTCTTTTGTTCAGACTGAAACTTCTTTGGTTGTCAGTAATATAAAATGCCTTGCAGTTGCAGTGCCTAGCATCTGATCGTTCACTTTGAGTCACTTGTAAATGAGATTACCCTTAAAATAATAATTTAAGGATTTGGCTAGAAAAAATATTTGTATTGTATCTTAAAAGTCTAAGTATCTTCAAATAACAAGATAATACTATAACAGAAATATTACAAAATGCAATTTTAATTTTCCCTTCTAGAGTTTAAAAGACAGGAAGGTATTTTGCCACATGAATGTATATAATAACACCTAGTTACTTCATTTAATTTCATAGTTATGCAGCTTATCGTGGAGTTATTTTCTGCTTCTGTGTTCTTGTATTTTTCCAGTTTTTGCCAGAATGAATGTGATAGCTCTAACCTGTTAATTCTTTTTTCCCTACACATTAATCTAAAGAAGAAGCCACCTATTCATAGCAATGTCAAATCTCATACTCATTGACTTGCTATGTTTTAAACTGAATACATAATACTCTTGTCCTTAGGACCTAGATATGATGCTACATTAACACATATTCCTTTTTGCTTTGAAACTGTTACTACCGAAGACTACAATCAAAAGATGATTGTTGAAGACATAAAATACTGTCTTTTAAAAAAATGCTAGTAAATATGATTTTGGGCCTTGTATAAAGTATAATTCAATAGAGAGAGAAAGTATTTGATTGCAAACTTAGAAAAATTTTGCAAACATACACTACAAAATTGTATGTTCACTATTGACAAGTGATTGTTTTACCTACATTGACTTTCTTCACGGTTCTGAAATAAATTGCCCCTCCCAGTTTAACAAAATTAAAATTTCATGATTCAGAGCAGCCTCTGTCCTCCTTGCTGTGTCGGACCAGGAAGTGGTCCCACTACTGTGTAAAGAACGGGTGGAGGAAAAGCATGAAGTAGGAAGCTTTTTCCAGGCAGGTGCTCTGTCTCTGAGCTACATCCTCCAGGAAGCTTTCTCATTACTTTTCCTCAAGTCAAATCTTGGGTGTAGCTATGCTTCCGAGCAGATTAACCTACTAAAATAGTAATAACATAACTGGAGGTTCAAATAATAATAACATAAATCAGATATGAGGTACTACTGAGTATGGTGAATGTTTAAACACATATGTCAAAAGAAGTTACAGTAAAAAGCACTTTGCCATGAATTCCCCTCAAAATACTCTCCTTTCCTTCAAACATATTTTTCCCGTTGCTCCTGTCACTTTCTGAAGAAGTTCTGGAAGTCCTCTTTGGTGAGTCTCTATGGTTTTGCCTCCTTTTGACTGTGAAGAAGAGCCAGAAGTTGTATGGTCCCAGATGCAGTGAATAAGTAGATGGTGACATACTGTACTGTTTTTACGAGCTTGCCTTCCCTACTGGATGTCATTCAGTGGCAACATTTACCATTTTGTATCACATCTTGTAAAGACACAAAAAGAGGACTTTGAGAACTGCTTCAAAAAATGGCAAGAATGCTGCAATAAGTTGTTTGAAACAAGGGGGAGTATTTGTGGGAAATCAGTGGCAGTGTTTGTTACTGTAATTTTTTAAAAAAATTATTCACTGTATATTTTGATCACATCCTGTATTTATTTTCCTTCTCAATTCAGAGATGCAGTTATGTTAGTCAAGAATCAGAAATTAACAAGTAGTGGAACATACCAGCGTGCATATTTCATTATATCTATGTTGGTATGTAGTGTACTTGATAGAGTCCTATCTTTCTGTAATAGCACTAAAGAGAAAATACTGCTTTCATTATGAAGTTGATTAATAAATATTTTAATGTTGCTCATGACCTTTTATACAGGTTTGACTCACTAATAAGGAAGCATAAGAGATATCTTTTATTTGCCTTTATCATTTTATGTGAGAGGTTATTTTTGCTTAATATGTATAATAGATAAAGAATATTGCTAAAATCTAATTTTCTAGAAAATGTATCATTGCAAAACTTTAAGACTAAGGCTGTAATTTGTTCCCCATATAAGCAGATTTGTTAGTTTCATTTAATATAGTATTTTTTACTCTCTAGTTTTTCATATCATGAATAAAAATGTATTTAATCATAAACCTCCTGGACTATGTTATGGTTGTTAGGAACATGAGATTTGAGGTCAGAGGTATGTGAGTTAGAATCCTGCTTCTCTCACGTATAGCTGTGGGTACGACAATTATTTAACCTCGTTAATCCTCATTTTCATCAGTGATTAAATGAAGATAACAGCGTGATCTATTCTAAGGTTGTTGGGAAAATTAAGAGCATACTATAAAGGTCTAACAGAGATCGAGTATCAATAAATGTTTGTAGTGATTTGTTATTCTTTCTCCAAAAATACTGAAGCAATGATGTTCAGATTTCTTTCCTAGGAAGACAGGAATCTGTGAGACAAATTTCTTTTACTGAATTACAAAAAAAAAAGAAAGCAATCCCAAAATATTGGTATGGAGATGTGTCTCAAAGTTCTTGCTATAACGTTACAAAGGACAAGAGATGAGTGTGAGAAATTATCTGGAAAAACACATTTTTCTACTTTTATTAGTTTATATTAATTTTTTATAATCACCATATTCTACAAATATTGCTATAGCATTTTACAAGTTTTTTTATTGTTTAACTGATTAATTAGATGATACTAAAAGTGTCCAGTGGAGGAGGCTTGCCTACTTCACAGAAGGAATAAAAAAGGCATTTCAGTATTTCCTCAAGTCTAACTTTGCACATACACAGCTGAACGCTGCACCAGCAGTGAAATGGCCGAGTGATAAAGGCAGCCCCTATTTCCCTTTCTGCTTCAGACCTGTGTATCTTGCATGGGTGAGGAAGAGAAAAGACCATAGAAGAGAGTTGGATTTTCAGAAGTGTTGATAAAAAAAGATACCACATTTAACTCAGATGAATTAGATGATTGCACTGGCTAATTACTTTTAAAGTTTATATGCTGTATCTGATCTCTACTAGAAAAATATTACCCTATATGTCATGATGCACAGAGGACTGTGGATGTGCACAGCCATCTCTCAGCTAGCACAGCGTGTAATCTGAGTCACTTGTTCATTCAGATATTTATTAAGCGTCTGTCATTATCAGACATTGTTGATGCCAGTGATGCAGTGTGAAACGAAACACTGTGTTTTGATCTCATAGTCCTCAAATTCTGGTGGAGACATCAATGTTAAACAAATAAGTCATAGAAACTAAGTGTTGGTTGTAGCTAGAGTTGAATTAAAATGGACTACCAGGGATATGCCCAGTGGAAGGAGTTCAGTTATATTATTTATTAATTTATTTACTTATTTTGGAGACAAGGTCTTGCTGTGTAGTGAAGGTGGCCTTGAATTCCCTTATGTAGCCCAGGCTGGTCTCGAGCTCATGCCAATCCTTTTGCGTCAGCCTCTCAAGTGCTGGGATTACAGGTGTGCACCACCATTCTTGGTAGTTTAATTGTAATCTAAAAAAAAGGGAAGTTGTTTTTGGTTAAAGTGTTTTCACATAGGCTGATATATATGGGAAGAAGAAATATTCTGACTCTGATGCAGAGGAGATAGTGAGGGTTTGGGGTGTGATAGGCTAAGGTTCCACCAGGAATCAACAGAAGACTGTGATGAGGTCAACACCTTAGCCCATCTAAGTAGGTAAACAGTGTGGGCTTAAAGGATGGGCAAGTTGTTAGTTAAACCAGACCATGTCAGTATCCCAGCAGGGTCCTGAATATACTATATGAACAAAGGTGGAAACATGTTCTGGAGAATACAGGAAAAGAGAAAAGTTTAGAATAGAGCTATGAGAGCACGGATATGAGAGGAGATCTGAGGAAGGTATTTTTCTGTTCGATACTGAAAGGACAGATCACAGTTAGCCCCGAAGTGATGTTGAAGGGTGCAGAGTACTACATGTAGAAGTTTCCTTACCCTGTAAGCTGGGACATGACCTCTATAAACAAGATGCTAAAGGGATTATTGACTTCATAATAATCAGCCCAAGAATTGCAGTCCAGTCTGAGGAAGTCTGTGGCACTTTTCCCAGGAGATTTTTATTGGTTTTTACAGATGCTTGGTAGCAGAAAACCAGAGTGTTACAATAAATCACATAGAAAGTTGTTCGCTTCATTACTGCCTTGGTGGAAGAGTTTGACATATTTAGAATTTTCCTTGCTTTGAGTTTAAAGTGTATATTTACTACCCCTGAGCACAGTGCTAGCAACTACAAGGGAAGGATGTTGCAAGGGAAGCATGTACTTTCTATCCTAGACCTTACATTATAGTATGAAAAAATGTTTGTCTGATGGTGTGAGTGCCATGAAGAAAATGAAGGCATGATTTATTTGAAGAAACTTCGTTGAAAACTTACATGAGGAAGGGTGTAACCTTAGGTCTAATCAAGGAAGGCTGCTCTGAGACATCAGCTCTGCTAATAACACTTGGGAAAGACTGTCCTAGAAAAAGAGAAGCTCAGGTTCAAAGCCCTGTGCTCACATGAGCATGGCCTACTTGAGGAGGATCAGTGAGGAGGCCTGCGGGACTGAAGGGGAGGGAGCTAGTAGGAAAATGGTGGAGATGAAGGCCCAGGGTACACAGGGCTGCAGCAGGCAGAGCCTGGTGCGCCAAGGTGTAAGTGCT